TTGTAATGTAAGATATTCTAATAGATTTTTGTTTTTTCTTTTGAGAATATTATGTGATTTCTGAGACCAACGCAGAGTTTTTTCAGCTATTGTGCAAATATCTATGACATATTTTGATGATGATGTCAGGTTGCCATAAGTTTTTATAATTTGTAGCTTGGAACTCGAAAAATCATTTTTTAAAATTCCTAAACATTTTTCACAATTTATTTTCCCTTCAAGTTTTTTCACTACAAATCCAGCAATGTAACCAATAACATCACTGCAGTACTCTGTAAGATGCCAGCTTTTTGGACTCACTGCATAATCGTGCTCATATAGATTCAAAAATTGACATAGTTCATCTGACGGTGTCATAGATGAAGTTTCTACTGAAAGCATGGGTGTGTTCTCATCAAGTACACTTATGTTTCCAGTTAATGAACCTTTAATGTCAGTGTGAATCAAAAGTCTTTTAAAAGCCGATTCAAATTGTCGAGCAGAAGGATTATTGTTAAATCCGCCCCTACTTCTTATAGCACTAAAAAAAAATTCCAAATGATCTTGGGATAATTTGTAACTAAGCAGAAATTCTAAGACGGGGTTTTCACAATCAATTAAATATTCATAAAATTGAATGTAACTTTTTATATTAATCATAAATCCCAAAAGCCCTGTTTTAGATTGAGATTCTATTATTTTCTGCTCATTTGGTAAATTTAATTGAGCAATATATTCAAAACAACTTTCAAGATAGGGTTTTATTAGGTTGATAGTACCTTTTGAAAGAGGTTTTCTATATTGGGATTTAGAATTTAAGTTTCTACAATTGAAAATATCGAATAAATTATTGAACAATAAACAAAAATTTGCTGTGCACTCTACGTCTCTAAATTCGGGAAATTTCAAATCTTGTGATAAAAAAAGAAAAGCATCTCTAACACTACGACTAAATGTTTGTGCAGCTAATTTTACCTTCATCTTTTCTTTTTGCTAATTTATATGTCTTAGACTAATTTTAGTTGCTGCATGAAGACCTTCCAAATTCTGTACTTTAACTAATTTTTCAAAATATTCCCAATTTATTAAACTATTATTATAAATAAATACTTTTTTAGAACCCAATATATTTCTTACTAACTTTAACATATGGCTAGGGTCAAGAAAAATAAAAAATTTTCTATCAATATTTCCATATTTATAAGTAAACCATGGTTTAAGATTTTCAACTGTATTTAAATCAGCCCCCAATGCTGAAGCCATTGTAAAATTAGCTGACAACCCATCAAATGTTAGTGAGGTTATTATTATGCCAGTGGTATTTAAATGTTCCAAAAGTTTTAGAATCAAATTTGATTTTTCTTGTCCAGTAATACCATTTATTAGAAAATTTGCCACTGGTATTTTAAAATTTGCATTCTGGCAAACTACCATAAATACTAATACTTCCTTAGCTTCTTCCAAATCTTCATCATTACCATCATCTTTCCCAATATAACCTTTCCAATCACTGTAGCCTGTTAATTTTTTTCCTGTCCATTCAATGAGTTTTCTAATTGAAATTTCATCCATTAGTAACCCACCAACTAATGTTATATCCCTTTTTTAAATTCTTCTACTTTTGTTTTTATTGCAGCTATAGCATGTTGATTGAAACCAGGACCTCCTTCAATATCTGCATACCATCTTCTTATTGTTCTTGGGTCTGGTAAAGTTTTATTGAAAGTGTCTCTTAAATAAGTATATGCTCTTGGAGAGTAATAGTGTAAAGTTGATCAAACGATTTAAGTTTTTCTGAATATTTTTGACGTGACGGTCCTTCTAATAACTTGACCAAAAGGTCTTCAGCAGGTCCAGAAACACTTGCCTATAACAATGGAAAGTATATTTATGATTATTTATTTTTTTATTAAAAATTTTTACTTTTAAAGCAGTTTTGAATTCATCATTTGTTTTGAAATTTTCTACAAAATTCTGCACTAATTTTTTATAATCGCAGACCGACTTTTTCAACCTTCTTACTTGTGTTTGCAATGATTTATTTTTGCTTCGTAAATTTGAAACAGTATTGTTAGAAACAAAAAAAAAACGTTTTCGTATTGATCGCGTTTCTAGAGACTTCAGTGTAAAGTCACCAAAATATCTGAAAACTTTCTTTTTTCTGAAATAAAGTATATGAATATAATTCAATATAAGTACACAGATCAAATTCAATGTTTAACTTACTTCTTAATTAATGGCGACTCAGATTTTATCGATGGGCTTGTGGTTAGTGTTTCAGAGTCAGACCTTGAACTTAATACTGAAGTTTGTGAGGTACTTTTCTTTAAACTATAAATTTGTTTATTTGTTGGCAAATTTAACCATGAAGAAGTACTTGGCCCATATTCAAATAATTCAGTATCTGAAGAAGTTTTTATCCTAAAAACATTTAAACATTAATGGTTCACAAAATTTACTAAAAAAATACCTTCTAGTTTTTTTTGGAGGTGACATAGATTCATAACTACGGTCTTCTTCCCGCTTTGTTTGAGTTATGTCAGGGTTCCTAAAAAGTTATGATACAATTTTTAAAAATGCTTGTAATATTAAGAAATTTCAACCTACAATATATTTGGTACTGCATCAGGTTTCAAACGTGTACGAAGAAAACCCACTGGTACAGCAAAGCAGTCCTCTGAAAAATGCCTTGAGCAGATGTAATAAATTCTTCCAACTTCTAATGTTTCATTCCACTCAAGTGTCTTTAACCATAAATTTCTTTTAATTGCGTCTTTTGGAAGACTAGAAATAAAATACCAGTTTTATTTTTTAATACTCATAATATATTAATTTATTTTTTTTCGCCTCTGCGACGCCTATGCCAAATACCGCAATACTTACGAGTGAAACGTAACCTCACTTCCTCTTGTAGATTTTAATCCACATAAAAAACAAGTTTTAGTCATTTTTCCTAATTGTAAAATAAACACAAGAAACTACAATTACTTTTAACACCACAACACGAACAAATTTAAATTAAACACTGTAATAATTGTCAGAAAAGCTTTGTATAACTGACAAATACAAACAAAGAGATAGAGATATTAATCTATTTCTCTCTAATTAGAATTTTGTATGCGATCATGGCGACACAAACATTGTTTATTGTCCTCTCTATACTTACTTACTCTGAGATGTAAGATATTAAAGCAATCAAGAATGTCATGAGATAAATCTTTTAACAGATCAAAATGATTTTCTTGAAGTCTATTAGAAAATGTTGATGTTCCTATGATATTATGTGACATTATTTCAAAGTATACAAGTTATTAGATTAAATAATTATTGTGCGTTATTGTTTTGGGTAAAATTGAAGATACAGGTTGTTGTGTTCATTACATTAGTTATTTTCCTTCAAATTAAATAATTGGTACTATGATATACATTTATTTAGTTAATCTGAACTGAAATATTTAAATTTTTACAATCATTTAAAAGGGCGTTAAGTTAATAAACATTTAGAAGGTATAAAATTAGTCGTTGAATAGTCCGGCCACGAGACAACTCTTAAAATTAATATAAAATAACTTTGCGAATCGATAGTTAGATGATTTAGGGTGATATTTAGGTTTTTATATTTAGGTTTTAGTTTTTTTTTTTTATATGGCGAATTATAAATGATTCCAAGCATATGCCAAACGGCTTGTGTGAGAAAATGGTGGATATTTATAGATTTTCTTGTCAACAATTTTTTAAATAAATTTTGTATAAATAATATGAAGACCATGTCCAACACTCAAGCCTTTTTATATATAGTCTTAGAATCACCTTTTCTAAGCATATGTCAAAAGGCTTGTTTGGGAAAATGGTGGAAATTTATAAACTTTTTTGTCAGGTTTTTGTTAAATAAATTATATATAATTAATATGATGACCATGTCCGACACTCAAGCCTTTTGTTATATAGTCTTAGTATCACTTTTTCTAAGCATATGTCAAACGGCTAGCGTGGGAAAATGGTGGCATTTTCCATACAAATTTCCTGCAACTTTCCGACTCAAGCCTTCGTTTCGTCCACATCCGATACTCATGCCAATTTTATTATTACGTCTAACCTTTTTAACCAAAAAGGCTTGCATGAAAAAATAACTCAAAAATCAAAACAAATTTGCGGTAATTTTTCGGACTCCAAAATGCATTTATCCATTCGCGCCATTCAAGCCAATATGTTTTTCGGGCTGGTGACGATGTATGTATTCATACTTTCGACGGGCTTGTGTGAAAAAATCAGTTAAAATATCGATTTTTCTTTACAAGATTACGTCCTCATTTCAACCCTTTATGCCACTTTCAACATTAAAGCCTTTGGTTTTCCGAAGACTAGTTCTATTAATTAATCATATAGTGAAAACGGCTTGCGTGGAAAAATAAGCAAAAAACACCTTTTATTTATGTTAAGGAAAATCAAATTTTCCATATGTTATCCCCAGGGGCCATTCGTAAATTTCCTTTCATTCTACTCAAAATCGATGTACTTTTCAACCCTCTTCGAGGCTTGTATGCGAAAATGGGACACCTAAATCAGTCACTATCTGATGGTCTAATACAACTGATAAGATAAACGTACAACGTCTATCATAGAACTGACTTTCTGACGTCAGTATCATCGACTTATATAGCTCGCTTTAACCTTCGAGAACCTTCTGGAATCTTTCAGATGTTTCTTAACTATTATCTCTTCTTCTTCTGCTTTTTCTTTTTCTACTTTTTTTCTTCTTCTTCTTCTTCTTCTTCTTCTTCTTTTTCTTTTATTTATAACGACCGCGGTACACTGTAGGATGATGTGCAGAATTTTTTTAAATTTTTCAATAAATTTGTTCTCACCTTGGCGGTTTAAAAATAATTTTGAATATTTCCTAGAAATAATTTTGGAAATTATTTGGGGATTTTCAAAGAATTTATTTCTAAAATTGTATCTAATATATTTTCAGTTACAAAATAAGAAATCCTTTAAAATATTTGCAATATACCTATGCATACCTGTATTCTGCAAACTTCTTAACACAATAGTAACCTCCAGATAAAAATGCAATATAAATATGTATAACACTGCTACAATTACAGAAAAAAACATGATGTATTCAGTAATATAAATCAATAACATACAACCCATGGAAAACAGAAAAATCTGAAAACAAAATATTTGTTACAACTGCTTTTAACAATAATAACTTTATTTAGAAAATATAATGGCACAAACAATAATGTATACAGTGTCAGCCAATGAACGTCTTCCAATACCCGATTAAAAAATGCGTATGAAAACTGCAGAGAGTTGGCATTGGGAAGAGCAGATAGCGAATAATATAGGCGTTGCCAGTTTGTACGACCCGACCACATTGTACCGTTGGTCAGGCCGTATGAACTGCTTTTTCTAATGCTGTGTAGTTTTCACAAGCGCTTGTGCCAAGGGGTATTATTCTTATTATTTATTTTCTTATTTTTATCTTGAAACAAATCACTCTCAACTATGACTTGTTTGTGATTATCTCTCTAAACCCTTAGAATGATGTGTGGCAAAGCATGGGGGATCAGTACTCAACTGATCTACTGGATTCACCAAACAGTGGTAAAATTCATGGTTACGTACAGCTCTGTCGTCTGGTAGGACAAAGGACTTTAACGGACCGCCAGAGCTGGCTGGAATACAGCGGCTTGCTTGCCTCGCCATAACTGGAGCAATGTCAACCACACCAACAGGCGCTATGGAGAGCATGCTGAATCTAACCCCTCTTCAAATTCTGCTGAAAAGGGTAGCCAGAGTGATCTCCAACAGACTCCTGAAGGAGGGTAGTCAATGCTACGAAGAACTGTGATGGGACAAAACGGGGCTGATGAGTGAAATTATTAACCACCACATCCTTGGTATGGTCTCGGACTCGCTAGTTCCCCAATAGCACATAGAAGAGCCATACAGCGTCCTCATTCCAGATAGAGATATTAATAAACCTAAGCTCTCTGGCCACGATCTTCCAAGCAGAAATCATTGCTATAGAATTGGGAGCGAGAGAGTTGAATTATTTTCTTCCAGCAAACAAGACTCTAAAGATCTTTTTAGATAGCCAGGTAGCCCTTAAGGCTCTGAGCTCCAATCGAGTTGACTCAAAGCTGGTTTGGAACTATTTAGGGTGTATCATTTTTAAGCAACTTTTTTTTTAACTAAAAGACAGGCTAAAAACTTTCCGGAAGGTGAAAAAATAAGCTTCTAAAAATTTGAGCTCTTAATATTATCATTTAGTGGTGGCTGTTTCCATCTAAATAACATGGAAATTTTTTTTTCTTTTTTCTTATTTTTGTAGCTTGATATTTGAGCATTGTAAAAATAAAATGAAACATTATTTTGGTAGGAAATTCAACGCTCTACAAAAAGTTCTTATATATTTTTTTCATAGAGTGAGCCGTTCTGAAGATATTCAAACTTAAAGTTTCAAATGTATGAAATTAGGACTTTTATTTTATTAAACTGATGACTTTTTTATGTCCTAAAAATTATTTTCAAGAAAAAATCATTATTTTCATATAGAAAGAAAATATCGACGCACAGAAGACAAAAATTCACCAGAAATATTTTTAAACAAAAATATGAGTGACTTTGTTTCAAAACAATCATTAAAACTTTTTGACAAATTTGATTTGCCGTACGACTTTCTGGATGCAGATGTCCTAATTTGGCCAGATAATGAAAGTTATCAAGAGAATTTGGAGTTTTCGAAAAATTGAAAGTTGTCAATGACGTTGCATGACATGGCGTCGCATTAGTAGAAGAATATAATAGATGCCTAACTAAAGATGAGGAACAATTTTAATATTTATTACAAGTGGTAAAGAAGCACCGACGAAAATATCCAAATTGTAATAAAAAAACTTCAACAAATATAGTTACATCATTCAATTCCGATAAGACATTAAAATATCTATTAGTTTCAAAATTTTAGCATGATAATTGTTAAAAAGTTTTTTTTTATCTATAAAATAATAATTTTACTAAACCTAATTCATAATTACTTTTGTTTAACAGTTAATCAAATAATATCTAAGATGTATTTTTTTTTTATTTTAGCTTTCTAAAAAGATTAGCGCACAAAAACTAGTTTTCTGATTAAAAATAATTTTTAAGACATAAAAAAGTCATCAGTATTAGTTTAATAAAATAAAAGACCTAATTTCATACATTTGCAACTTTAAGTTTGAATATCTTCAGAAAGACTCACTCTATAAAAAAAATATATTGGAACTTTTTGAAGAGCATTCAATTTCCTACCAAAATAATGTTTCACTTTATTTTTACAATGCTCAAATGTCAAGCTACAAAAATAAGAAAAAAGAAATTTTTTTTCCATGTTATTTAGATGGAAAATGGAAAGTTACGAACAGGCACCACTAAATGATAATATTAAGAGTTCAAATTTTTAGAGGCTTCTTTTTTCACCTTCCTAAAAGTTTTAAGCCTGTTTTTTAGTTGAAAAATGAAACACCCTAAATAAATACCCTTGAATGTCTCGGTGCCCGGAATAAAGTTACTTTGATCTGGGTTTCGGGACACATAGGTGTGGGGGGCATCGTAAACGTTGACGCGCTTGCTAAAAGAGGAACTGAATCTATGTTCATAGGACCAAAACTATTCCTGGGTATTGCAAAGAGCACTGCCAAAGAAATTATCTCAAAATGGACGGAGGGTGCAAGACGAACTGGAGAGGTATGCTAGGGCTAACTTATTTAAAGGCGTTTATAACCAACCTTTCTATGAACACCTCTGCTTAGATCCGAGAATCAAGTAGGGAAGATCCACGATTTTCACTGGACTGATGACAAGACACTGCCGTCTGGGCAACCACATGAGAAGGGTAGGTCTGCAACAAACATCGGACTGTCGATTCTGCAGCATTAAGGACGAGTTTGCAGAGCAGATTCTATGTACTTGCTCCGCTCTGGAAAGAACCAGGTTCCAGATCTTCGGATTTACCCGACTGGAGCATACCGACTTTAAACAAGTCTCACCCAATTCAACCATGGCCTTAATCAAAAAGTGTGGCTTGTACGGTGAACTAAAAGTAAGTCATGAGCTACAATAGACTTATCTGGGTGGCAGTGGAAGTCTAACCTAACCTAACCTAACCATGACTGGTTTGTTCTCACTATCACATTTAACACTAATTGAACTTTCTTTAGTTTGGATCTTCTTTCTGTTCTTTCAATATTTAATTTTAAAGTTGATCGAACAGAATCGCCAAACATTTCCTTAACAACTGGCCAAATAGAGAGATCCCTGGACAATAAGTAGTCCAGCTTGGGTGTTTTCATAGACATAGAAGGTGCTTTTGATAAAACCACCTTTTCAAAGGTAATACACTCACTAACCAACAGGAATGTTCCACAAATGGTTAGTGGGTAGATACTTAACATGCTATCAAAGCTAGCAGTAAACATAAGTAAAAAGATGTGAATATAATAGGCTTGGTTGCGAAGTGATGTCCACAAGGAGGGGGTGCCATCACTTTTACTGTGAAATATGGTCCTCTAGACCCTCATCAGCCGCCTCAATAATGACAGTGACTACAAAATAACATATGCAGATGACCTAGTCATTCCGCAAACAGGGAGTTTTGAAAAAATGGTTCTTTTCACAGGGAAAAGATGAAAATGGAATTAAAACCTCCAGAACTCCTAAACACAATACTAAACTTTGCAAAAAAGGTGAATTACTTAAATCTCATCTTTGACAGCAAGTTAACATGGAAAAATAGAGATGGGCATTTCAGTTTATTCGGTTATAATTTACCGAAGCCCAATTTAGTTAATTTTAAAGTGAGTTGCATCAAAAGATTCATTAATTAAGTTAATTTATCATAACTCACAAGATATGAAATTTATTTCTACAATATTTGTATAATATTGTATTGTGTAAATGGCATCACATGTAGTTATTATTTTAGAAAACAGAATCAAAAGAGCGTACATTGCTTATGAACAATGCGGCCAAGTCATCGTATGGACTTACACAGCTATCACAAAATCTATGCTAACATACGGTGCAGTTGTCTGGGTACCGAAAACCCAAAAATTAATAGCTTTACGTAAACAAAAACAAATTCAAAGAGTAGTATGTCCCAACATAACAGGAGTCATAAAAAGAATACTGACCAGAGGCATAGAAATCATTCTTAGTCTCATACCCCTTGATATTTACAACAAGGAGGTTGCTCTGACGATAATGACACGCCTGCGCACGGTTGGAATAGAACCTGATGTAGGATCTGGTGAGGCAGGCATCACTTTTGGCAGGAGTCGCTTAATACGCTCCCACTGCTTTAAGCGAACATGGACTCCATCTCACCGAGATATATCTTTCATAAAGTTATAACATAACAAATAGAAAAACCGAAAGTGGCAGGTCCGATTCATATCTACACTGACGGTTCTAAAACAAAACAAAGCTCAGGATGTGGAATATACTCCAGATGTTCAAACCTAAACATAAAATGGGCTGTGAGCAATAGTTTCAGAGCTAACGGGGATTCTCATAGCAGCAAAAGAAATCACCAGAAATAATATTACTGGAAAGAACATGCTTATCTATACAGATAGCAGGCAAGCACTACTCACCCTGAAGAGACCACGAATTTACTCAGGGTTAGTACTAGAATATGACGAAGCTGTGGTCGAAGTACCCATCAACAATGTGGTCATTTTTAGATGGATCAAATGTCACGTCACATCGAAAGGTAATTGTCTTACTGATTCACTAGTCAAAAAAGCAGCCAACCAAATACTTTTTCAACTTGGCCCTTCTATTGGCATGACAAAATCGGTAGTGACAGACCTAATTAAAGAACATTCCCTTGTAAAATTCAAGGAAAGATGGGATGAAACAAGAAATTGCAGAGTTGCCAGGGAGCTCTTAAGTTGTCTTGACAACACTGCAACATACAGAACTTGACAATGACTAGGCAGAATGTATCACAGGCATTCTGACTGGTCATTTCCAAGTACTAAAGAATCCATCATGGGGCTGTCAGAATCCGCAGATTTGTGTTTGGCGAGTATCGGCTAACACCGGCCGATATAAGAGAAGCGCCTCCTGGCGACGTTGTTAACTACATTAGATCTGTAGGCTGGCTCACGAGCTAGGAGGTGCCAATCATCTTAGGAGGATGCACAATTTGCTTAGTGAGGCATAAGTGCCGTGGGGGGGGTAACCCACCCTCCACACGTTATAGATATAGACTGGCAGGAAGGCACAGCGTTTTTTTTTTTAATATTTATTTTCACTTGAGATGTAATAAAAGAAAAAGGTGAAATAAAAACATTCAATCGAAAAATAAATCTACATTACCTCTAGGCAAATAATGATCTTTTTAAGATGCTAAAAACGAATTTTCAAATACTTTGATACTTGCTTCTCAATTTTCAATTTTTTAATCATGCATTTCTTGCATCCACAAGGTAAGAATTTCCACTTGCATTTTATAAAAATTACCCTAGCAGATAAAATTTAAGAGAAGATTCAATTTTTTTTTTCAGAGCTGCACTGAAGCACACAAAAAGTGTGTTTTTAATGATATTCCACCTATATTCCAAATAATATAATATTTTAATACATATCATAAAAATTTAAATCATTAACTTATTAATAAATAAGATATTTCAAACATAATACTTGTTAAATTTTGTATGGTTTAAATAAATATATGGTCGATGCCTGATTTCGTGTTTCTCCGAACAGAAAATAGACATTAATAGTTAATAGTTACATATCCAAATTTATTCAATATAATAAGTTATAAGAACACCTGATTTTCTGTTTGATTTCTTATATCTCAATTATCTATAAAAATATTATAATCAATCGCTAATTTATCATAATCTTCGAGAAATGCTACCTTCATATATTTATGTTAATTGCTGGTGACTTATAATTATGAAAAATATTTTAGTGTGGCCGTTAATATTTTCATTTTTTTTTTTAATATTTTTATTTAAACCGCTACAGTTAATAAAGTAATAGAATTTCTTAATTTTTAATGAAAATAGTAAATGTGATTTGATAAACACCATCATTCTGGTTATATCTGCACTTATTCTAAATTAAATTGTAACGATGCAGTGTAAACAATTATATATCGAGTACTTCTCTGGTCTCGGTGAGTACAATACAATCAATCCATTAGGTCTAGACTACTCAGAGGTATTTTGAAAGAATACAAGTTATTCTGTATACTTTTAATATTTATATGAAATATTTTAAACCTATCATTATTATTTACCTATAATATTTGCTTACATTCTTGTGACGTATTAAGTGTATACGTTTCAACTTTTCTTATATCATTACATATCATTTTTAATAAAATTAAAATTTTAATTGAACATCCTAGATAAACTGAACAGTACTTAACATTTTTACGGATTTATTTTAGAAAACCTTTCTAGTGATTTTTCACATACTCCAAAAAGTATGCAGACTAATAGTAATACCTCTACTAACTAGTGTTATTAAAAAATTATATTCTTACCTCTACAGCATCCTTTGATGTTTCAGGAAACGTCCTATCAACAATTTCCACATCCGAGGTAAAAATTTTGAACGTTTTAGCCATTGAATTGGTGTAAAAAAACTTCATAGGTGCACGCAACACGGAAAAACACAAGTTCTCATGTAATCTTCTTGCAGCAGTATCAAAAAAATTTAATAAGAACCCATCTGACAATAATATTAATAGAAAGCCAGATATTACTAAAGAAATGTATACCAGTACATCCGCCTGAGCATCTTTAAAATCAACTTCTTCATGATATGTTGGAGAAGTTGGGTCTTCAATTATATTTGAAAATAAAGAGGATATTTTTGTAGGGTATACTGTTTTTATGTAAGTTTTACTACTCCTGTAACAAAACAAAATAATTTTTTCTCAAGGAAAATTGCTGTAACAGATATTATAGTAAATAAGTACTAGTGGTTTTAGAGACTGAAAGACAAGCATCGATGCTGTTAATACTGTGCTTAGGCCAGTTTATAAAAAACTTTCTTTTATATTAGATTATTAAGATACCAATCGCAACTCTATTTATACACAAAAAGTTTCCAAACGATACGATCTTCCTTATCAATGTTTTTTGTAAATTTAAACTTGCACAAGATTGATAATTATATAGAATAAGGATACGTAATAGGATCTGGGTTAAAAACCGTACGCAGGAAATATTGTGTTTTCAAATAGGGTTTGATCTTGAGTAGGGAATTGCTTGATCAATTTGCTCTCCTATTTTCAATCTACTAATTACTATGTTTAGAAAAGTATGAGACACAACCCAAATGTTAGCTTGCAAAATTAAAAGATACTAAAGACATGAAAAAGTGTCGAATATATTTTAGGTATAGTATTATTCGTCCAGTATACTTACCAATAAGCTAACCAATAATCGCACCAAGTGGATACAACATAAGCTGTTATTAGCAACAAACATGTCAATATGAGAAATTGTCCTGTTTTCAGATATTCGAATATACTATTATAATATTTTGTTACCGTTATTGGATAGTAACTGATGTCTTCCCGGCTTTTTTTAAACTCTAACTTATCCTGCAACAATAAAGTATTGGAATAAGTTGTTTTATTTATACTTACAGACAAAGTGTTTTTATTATTGCGCAGAAACTAATCAGAGTCTACAAATGCGACTATGGATATTTGTAAATAGTCCTACACTATTAACATATTCCAACGTAAATTGGACAAATCTATAGTTGTAACTTATACCTAATCGTTAATAGTTCATATTAGTTCAAATAGTTTATGCAGGGTGTCCCGAAACTAGACGGTCATATTTTAACAGCGTAATCTACATCCTAAAATAGGAGTAAAACTTCATATAAACATAGGTCCGAAAACGTTTCTTTTCCGAGATACAGGGTGTTAAAAGTGAAGTCCTAATGACACATTTTTGTAAATATTTTCTAAACACTTAAAGATAACTAAATGAAATTTGGTACAAATGCTTACCGTTTTACGCTCTATGTAATGGACTAAATCTTAGTTTTTGTTCATCTTTATAGATGGGTAAATTAGGGGGGGGGGGCTTAAGGTAAAATTGCCCTAAGTTTTTTTGTTGTCAGTTTTTAACATTTTTGACTAAAAAATTTGGAAACACAATGTTTTTTTTACAATAAAGCTACTCTTGCTGCATCTCGCTAGGACGCACCATTTTCAAGAGAAAAGCATTTGAAAATTTCATGATAAGTTCATATTATCTTATTCGAAAGTGCAAACAAAAATTAGTAGGCCTGGAATCCAATAGCTGCTTTTCAATTTTTTGAGACGCTGTGATAAACAAAAATTGGCTGTCAATTGTGTAATTATTTGTACTTTTTTAGCGTGAAAGAAAAATACTTCTAATAAATGGAGAGATTTTCAAATAGAGAATTGGCAGATATTCATTTTGTATATGGTTTGTGTAATGGAAGGGCAAGAGCAGCAGTACGAGCATACCGTAGACGGTTTCCTAACCGAAGAATTTCTGACTACCGTATATTTATGAATACACATAGAAATTTGGTTGACCATGGTTCATTTCAACGTGATCGTGGACAAGTGAGACCACATGGGAACAACAATTTGGAACACGCCCTTAATTTATTTGAAGAGGACCCAAGAAGGAGTATTCGAACTGTTTTCACCCTTTCAGAAATACCACGAGCAATAGTAAGTAATAATTACGTCCCTTTTTCTTTATACTATTTTATGATTCTTAGTTTTTATTGCTCAAACTTACAAGTACAAGTATTAGAAATTAAAAATTTAAACAAACCGACTTCAAAAACGTGTAGATGCCATCACCACACCTTGAGACTAAATTTATATGGGACTACTCCTAAGGTATCCCCTTACTAACAAAAAAATAATCATATAAATCGGACAAGGTGGCAAAGCATTATCGCTAAACATACATAAAAAAAGAAGAGTTTGAGGATTTTCTCATAGACCCAATTATTAGATTTTGACCAAATTTATATGGGACTACACCTGAAGTACCCCCTTTCTAACAAAAGAAGAATTATTGAAATTAGACACTATGTTAAAGAATTATCGCTGAACATACATACATAAAAAAAAATATCGCGACGAATTGAGAACCTCCTCCTTTTTTGAAGTCGCTTAAAAATAACACGAACAAGTTTCAGATTAAAGGCATTTTTAAATTCTTACTTTAGTTTACGTGTCTTTTAAAAAATATGTTCATTTAGATTGGAAGAATGTTAAGAATGCAGGGTATTCATCTCTATCATTATCAGCGTGTTCAAGCCTTAAGACCCCACGACTTTTTACCACGAATGGAGTTTAGTGAATGGATAAGAAACTATCAGGAACTGCTTCCTTTTATTATGTGGAGCGACGAGGCTACATTTAATAGAGATGGTGTTTTTAATATTTACAATCACCATTTTTATTCACAAGAAAATCCTAGGGTGTATAGTGTTTTACTCGTCGAAAATCATTTTTTGAAGCTCGCGAACATTACCAACCTCGGCTTCGCCTCGGTTGGTAAATTGTTCTCTCGCTTCAAAAAATGTTATTTTCGTCACTCGTGAAACAATATACTATTTTGTTCTCTTCATTCTTTTTCTTTTTTCTTTTTTTTTTCTTTTTTTTTGTTTTTTTTTGTTTTTTTTTGTTTTTTTTTTGTTTTTGTTTGTTTTTCTTTTATTTTCTTCTATTTTTTCCTAAGGAAGGGATTAGACAAGATAGGCCTATATGCTTAGGAACGATACCTCCCATAGAACAAAGATAATTATTGAAACGTGCAATTACCAATAATAACAATGGTGCTTTAATATACGTATTTGATTTGATATTAAAAAAATTATTTAATTGAAAAACAGTTAAAATATCATAAGAGGCTAAAATGATAAACACAATCAAAATAACTCTTCTAGAAGAAATGTAAATACCCTTTTTTTATAAAATTCCTAAAAATTTACCATATTAAGTTCCAAATTTACTTTCTCCTTTTTTTTCTGACTCTTTTCGTCCTCTATCCAAGTGTAAATGTCTATGTTGTTATCTTTTATTTTTGCCAAATTATCAAAGATTTGGACTCTGCCCTGAAAAAAAATATGTTGCTGTACTCTAAAAATTTGTTTATATTTCATGGATTAAATTATAGAAAAAAATATTAACCTCATGCACAACAATAATTTGATCAGCTTTATCTAAAAATTGAAGCTGATTTGACACCACAACCCTCGTTTTTCTAGCTAAATATCTAGTAAAACAATCGTCGAACAATTTATTGCTAATTTCTACATCCATAAAAGACAGAACATCGTCGATTAGATAAATATCAGCTTCATGATAAACAGCTCTAGCCAAACTAATTCTGCATTTCTGATCATTTCTTAAAATAACCCCTTCTGGGCCTACGCCGCTGAAATCGCTGTTCATGAATTGGCTGAAATCTGGCAAGAGGTTGCATGTATTAATTACATTTTTGTATCTGGTTTCTTTATAGGTTCTGCCGAAAAGTATGTTATTACGTATGTTGGAACTGTATAACCATGGTTTTTGAGAACAGTAGGATACTGATCCTCTGACTTTGACTTTTCCGCATCTGGGTAATATTTCTTTTAATATTAGTTGTAAAAGTGTTGATTTTCCAGAATTTTTTGGACCAATAACAAGACATAAACTACCTAAAAATGAGTCATTAAATAAATCTACAAACAAATTATTTTTGGTGTGTTAATAAGCGACCAAATTTAGAAGGCCCTGTAAGTTGGTACAGAAGTTACTGCTTTAATCTGTTAATTAAAAGAGAAAAGATTAGGAACACTGGTAAGTTGAGCAAAGGATACTTGTTATAATCTGGCTATTAAAAAGTCGTTTCATGAGTATTAAATAAAATGTAATTAGAATAATGAGATTATTAAGAGTTGTTTTTATCCAAAAGGGACCTGGATAATGAGTTTCCTTTTAGCAAAAACTATATAAATTTGGACACTATTTAGTGTAATTTTACCCACCAATTGAGGGAGTCATTCAGTAACGCACTGCATTCAGAAGATAGTGAGTTCGAGCACCACTACCGCCTGGCCCGTTATGAGTATTTCAGAGGTTTTCTCCTAGAAATAGGTAAATTATGGTGGTCAGATACCTACCACCATCATTCCTTCCACTAAGACCTAATCTCCGTTTGCTACAATGGATCTAAAGGGGATAAGCCCAACTTATAGAATGCAATCTCCTTTCTATCTTCAAGTTGACATCAAACAATAACACTGCTTTAGAAAAGTGATCAAAAATCCTGTTCGCTGAGGCTACTCAAACTCGATCAAATAACTACCGCAACGTGGTGTCACGAGTTGGATCACCTCAGGAAGATGGCTAGTTTATTGAGACAAGAATAACAAAACTCAAAGAGGACTGGGATACTTACAAACATCGTCCCAGAGACTATAAAAAAAAGTTAGACGATTATAGAGACGATTATCAAAGACGCATGACTACTGCAGACCTCGAAGATAGCGTCAAAGCACTTATCTGACTAGGTCATCACAGACGTAGTTGACTGGATAGAGGAAGAATACAACCCATCTGTCTACGATTGTCAAACTGCCAAACACATTGTAGATGACAAAATTAGATGGCCAATATTTAGCTTATATCCATTTATCGGCAGGACCTGACGGTATCCATCCAGCACTACTTCAGTGATGTCTGGAAGAACACACACGGTACCTGGTAGGTATATTTATATTCTCGTTATCTCTAAAGTATATACTCAACAAATGGAGAAAGGTAAAAGTGGTCTTTGTGACGAAGTCACTAAAATTCCCATTAATTTATTCCATAAATTAATTTCTAAAATTAATTTCCATCTATGAACTAATATTTCCGTAGAATTACCGTTTTTAAACATTTGCAAGAGCCCTCGTAGTTTAAAACTTTTCGATATCACAATAATGTAAATCGTCTTGTAAAATTGCAATTCTAGTAAATTCTATCAGTAAGCTGATCAATTAACTTTTTTTGCAATAACAATTTATTTCCTCTAGGTAGGGCTAATGCCCCACTCCGGCAAAAAGTACGAATTCTGATAAAACTAAATGTTTGCGATGAAGGAGCGCTCTTTTCCTTCTGCTACGCCGTCAGTTCGCTAGTAACAATTGTTTTGGTGACGAAGTGCCGTTTTTACCGTGAAGGCCGTAATTTTGTGGAAGAAGTTAGTTAAGGTAGGCCTTTTATTTAAAATCCCGTCTAATAATTCTCCCTGTAACATTCACTTCCGTACTATTAATTACCTGAGCTATTCGACCAGTATTTTTGATTTCTTAGTACCTGGCAGGGTAACGAATTGTATTTAAATCCGGGGCGTTAGTGCCCTTCAACCATTTTCGTGTTAATCAAGGGACGATAGTGGTATTCGCTTGCTCTCCCTGTCGAGAATCACAGCTGTTTCTGTTTTGTAGAGGCTATGGATTACCAGATGTCTACATAAGAGAAATTTGAAACCGAATAAATAAAATAAAAATTCTCAGAGTATTGGTCGAATAATACCGCTTTAAGACACCTGTTATTTGGTCTATTGTGCCTAGCAAAATAATATTGCGGGGAGGATATTAGGCATCGTTCTTTCAAAGGCAAACGTCATTTTTTTTCTCTCATGACTGGGGGGCGATACTCTTCACCACCGTTGGCTGATTACCGATATTTTTATTACTGAGAGTAACTTATTAATTTTTTTTATTATTTTTAAAACGTATAGTTTGAATCATATTTAGTTTTACTATTGTAGATTTTTTTCTTATGGCTAAAACCGGCCGTTTTCATTAATAGTAAGGAATTTGTGCTAAGGGTGTTAGTGCCCACCGCTTTAATTTTTTTTAAAGGGAAAATTGTTATTTTTATTTTTTTATGGGTATAGTATAGGTCATAGTCAATTTTACCGTTATAGCACTTTTCTGTAAATACCGAGGCCATTTATTTTATCAACAAAACATATATTCTACCTTTATTTTATCACCGTTATTAAACAGATATAAATACCGATTTCACCCTAGGTCCATTTGTTTTATTGTTAACCGTTATTAATTATATACATATCGATTTTACCGCCGTTCCATTTATTTTATTTTTAATAATTATTTATTTCTTTTATTTTGTAAATATATTTTGATTGAAATTCCTGAGTTTAATTTTGAATTACACCTTTGCTTTTTCCGTTTTCAGGGCGTAGTGATTAATAGGTAAAAGTGCAGTGAAAAACTTTATTTACTTTACTACCCCAGTGTAGGTCAACTTAACAGTGAAGGTCTGTCCGTTTTATTTTTTTTGTTTGTACCTGGACTCCACTGAGTCTACTGTGGGTGTACTCTACGTGCACCCCAGGGCCGCAGAGCAAACTGCGATATCAAAACTGGCGCCTGAGCAACCCCTATTCGGGAATTACATTCATAGCGCCACAGACTCGCTGAAGCACTGTAGGTGAATCAGGAGACTTGTAAGGTTGGATTACACGGTTCCAAAACTCAACCGATCAATTAGTCTGACATGAATTTCCATTAAGATATGCAAAAAATACATAAGGAATGTGGTGACTACAACAACATCAGTACTTCCAAATCAACATGCATACATCCCAGGCCCAGGTAGATCTACTAATTTATCCCTTCATTTAGGTTCTGGCTGCAAAAGGAGATTCCTGGACAATATGGAGTCCGCCTTAGGTGTTTTCATAGACATAGAAAGTGCTTTTAACAAAACCACCTTTCCCAAGATAAAACACAGGAATATTCCACAGATGGTAAGGGGGCGAACACTTAACATGCTCTCAAAGCGAGCAGTAGTAAATGTGAATATAAGAGGCTTGGTTGCGAGAGGATGTCTACAGGGAGAAATGCTGTCACCTCTACTGTGGAACATGGTCCTCGACACTCTCATCAATTATCTCAATAATGACAGTCACTACACAATAGCGTATTCCGATGACCTGGTCATTCTTCAAATTGGTAAGTTTAAGAGCATACTCTCCGAAAGAATGCAAGTAGCTCTCAAAATTATAGAACCGTTCACTGTCTACCATTCCCAAGAAGACAAAAATGGTCCTTTTCACAATAAAAAGGATGAAAATAAAATTAAAACCTCTAGAACTCCTAAACATAAAACTAAACTTTGTAAAAGAGGTGAAGTACCTAGGTCTCACCTTTGACAACAAGTTAACATGAAACTCTCATTTAGAAAACGGGTCGAGGAATTTTGTTCGAAAATTTTTGTTCGAAAACATTTTGTTCGAAAGTTATTTCTATCTAATTTAAAAAAATTTCCTTCCTAGACAAATATAGTGAATTTCGAACATGGTTTTGTAAAGCCGAAAGTGCTCGCTTATTGTTAATTATTTTTACATACTAAGGTACGTGTCTATTTTTTTTTAAGTCGTATAAGTCAAATTTGTAGGAAAATAGGGCTTTTGATATAATTTGCTTAAAAAGTGCGTCGTTTGATCTGTTTAATGTTTATTGAAATAAAACTAATCGAAGATGATATTTTTTATTGAAAATAAATTTTTGGTTTAAAAAAGTTTAAATAGTTCCAGGTCGCACAGGTTATTTAAATAAGCAGTTAACCGAGCAAAAGAAGCATTTTTTAAGTACATTGTATCAATAGCCCTACTTTAAAGATTAAACAAATTTCTTTGAAAATATATAATCAATCGAAAATATATTACGTAGTTAGAAGGAATTGTGTTTAAAAGAATCTTTTTTCGAACATTATTTCTTCTAAAGTAATTATTTCAAAAAACATATTTCATTTGGAAAAGAGACTCTTAACACTAATTTTTCTGAAAAAAAAAAAAAATTATTTATATTTTTTTGAATTCATATAACAGTATTAGAAAACTGAAATGATTTTTCTTCGTTTTTCTAATTCGTTCTCCTGTTTCTTCCTTTAATATTTTGAGTTCACTTAAAGTCTGTTCCCTACATAAATTATTTAGAAAATTCCAAATCAATGGCTTTGTAGCTTTAACCTGAGTCAAAAATCCTCTATGCCAGCCCTCGACATTGTTGTTTGTAATGGATCTATTATTTTTGATACTATAATAACAACTCCACATGCTATGTGGGAATGTAGGTTTTTTCTAACTCTTCTTTCCATTGTTCCTATCCACACATCCTCAATATAGTTAACTATATTTTGAAATTCCGCGCCCATCATATTATGTTCCATAATGACATTAAAAGCATGTATAATCAAATTTTTGGGAACAAATGCAATGGCTTGCAAAAGTTTAGCATTAAACGAAAAATCAGTATCGCTATCGTTTTTTTTTTAATCCACTTTTTTTAATTTGTCTATAGAAGCATTGCCTAAAATAAAAGAAGCAGAATCAATTTTAGGGAATTCATTACAGCTATCTCGTAATCTGTCATTATTGCCGTTGCTTAGATTTTCATTTAATAGTTTCCTTATTTCGAAAAATACTCTAATATAAGTGCTTTCTGCTTTATTGGGCATTGAAATATAAATTAGCGGTACCACTAACTTGTTTACTTGACCATGAATTACATAGAGTTGGTAAAATATGTTAGAGGCACAGTTTTGAATGTATCATCCATATACCAATATGTTGCATTTGACAATATGCGTAAATTTTTATTGGTAGCAAATATTAGGAAACTTTCCCCTGTATCACTGTCGTTATTTGCGGAGTCATACTGTAAAAATTGGTCTCCCTTTTTAGTTATTGTGTATGTTATCGATAAGTTTAACTCGTTTCTGTCCTTTGGAAGGGCTGGGTAATTGTTTTCTCGTCTTACTTTATTTCTGATCGTTTCTTTTAAGCTTGGAATAGCTGGTATACGAGCTAACACAGAACTACTTGTTGAAGCTATGGCTGCAGATATAATTCCTTGCGGAGTTTCTATAAATGACTTGGCTTTAGTATCTATTTCTACCAAAACCTCTTTAACATGGCTACCTCCGGTTTTCCAGGATGACTATGTTCTCCTCTTACCTCATTATGTTTACCATTCCGTGTTATCAGTCTTCCTTTGCATCCAGTTTTGAATTCTTCACATTTCCAGTAAACTACTGCTCCTTTCTTTCTATCTTGTATGTAGAAGTAACCATCGATATACATCATTTCATTGCCAAATTTAGTTTTTAAAGATTTTATAACTGACATTGCTGAAAAAGTATTGTCATTACAAATATGTATATTATTATAACAACAGATGGTTACTATAGTTTTCAATTATACTTTAATAGAATTTTAGAACCTAGAACACTATATTATAGAGTTAAAGAAAAATAGACATGTACATTAGTGTGTATAATTATTTAATAAAAATAAACGAGTACTTTCGGCTTTACAAAGCCATTTTCGAAATTTACTACGTTTGCCTAGGAAGGATATTCTTTCAAATAAATTAGATATTCGAACAAAATGTTTTCGAACCAAAATACCTTTCGAACAAAATATTTTCGAACTAAATAGCTTTCGAACAAAATGGTTTCGAACTAAATAACTTTCGAACAAAGTAACTTTCGAACAAAATGTTTTCGAATAAAATTCCTTCGAACAAAAAGATTCGAACAAAATTTCGCGACTCTTAGAAATCAGATTAAAAAGAGTATACATTGCCTATGAACAACGCTGCCGAACCGTACGGCGCATGTGGGGTGTCACATGGACTCACACGGCCATCATAAGACATATGCTAACATACGATGCAATTATCTGGGTATAGAAAACCCAACAATTGACAGCTAACCACAAACTAAAACAAATTGAAAGAACAGCATGTTTTAACTTAACAGGAACCATGAAAACCACATCAACCATTGCAGTCATTTACGTCAAGGAGGTTGCTCTGCTAACGGTAACACGAGTCCGCACGGTTGGAATAGAACCTGATGTAGGACCTGGTGAATCTTTTTTGGAAGGAGGCATCTCCATATCATGGTGGTGTCAGGGGGCACGAACAAAAAGATGAAAATCCTCTATCCTTACCTCACGCTTTCATTTATTACAAGATTTGTGATCGGCGATTATCAGCTGACACCGACCAGTATACGAGAAGTGCCTCTTGGTGACGTTGTTAACTACATTAAATCTAGGCTGGCTCAGAAGCTAGGAGATGCCTATCAATTTAGGAAGATGCATAGTCACGGCATAAGAAACAATCGGCAGGCTCACTTGCCGCTGATTGCATACAAATATTATACTAAGAAAATTTGACCTTGGCGACGCCATTCGGGGGTCTTAGTCAGGGATGGATTAAAGCGTATTTAAAGGTTTTGTAATAAAATAAGGTATTGATAGGCAGGATCGTATTAAAACAAAAAAGTTTTACAGATTGCGCCAAATAATTAGCTTGTTTTTATTGATGGTCTTAAAATTTCTATTAATATTTTCAAAGTGTAATATATGAGCAGCCTTAAATATAACTTAGGACCGATTCCACCGTTGTGTTAAACGAAGTTTAAAATGACATTTTTACATTAACAATGTCATTTTAATCTCCGTTTAATACAACGGTGGAATCGACCCTTAATAACATATGTTTATGGAAATCGGGGACAAGGAGCGTCAAATGTTATCTCGGAATTAATTAAATCTAAAAAAAATTACAAACGCCGGATTTAGTGATAAATAATTCAAAATTGTGTTGAAAAATTATTTCAATTTTTGTTATTAAACATACAAAACTATTATTTGACATTCTTAAATTGCCAAAAATATCTTCATTTGCTTTTTTTGTATGCTTTATAATAACAATACATAGAGCTTATATCCAAGTCTTCGTGTATTAAGGCATATTGTGTACATACATCGCAACGTTGAATTTTAAGACATTTTTTTATTAAAAATCCGCTTATATAATAAAATTTTTTTAAAAAATATTAATATTTTGTGCATGCAATTCATGAATATGCTTGTTTATATTTACATTTTCGACAATATTGCCACCATTACACGCGATTTTGGAAAATGGCTCATCCTTACTAGTCCTACGAATTTCATGCAGCCTTACAAGTAAAGCATCCCCCCCTGTTTCGCAGTTTTCAGTTCCAGAATGTAATAAATTTAAACATTGATAAATATAAATTGATGTTAAACTTTACGTGACTTTAACTAGGCACCTACCTACATCTTACTAATAGCTTTATAACTAACAAACTGACCCATAACCTGGGATTTTTTTTTTAAAGTACATACATACCTAATAAAATTTTTAAGAAACCGAAAAAAAATTTTAATACAGTTTATTCATATAGTTTTTTGCTGCACAACTTGCCCAGACATAGTAAAACACTTAAAAGTTAACAAATTAACACTGGAAAACAACTACTATATAAAAAGTGTCAAAAAATATCTATAATTCTAAAAAAATAACAATAACTACATAATACAAACATCACAAACAAAATAAATTTAAGATACACGCTAGTGATTCCAAGCTGCTGCAACTTGTTTGTTTTTATCGATATAAACGACGACAGTGACGCCATTGGCTTGATTGAGAGGTTGGACCCTAAAATGGAGGTGTGCGCGTAGATGTGCGCGTAGCGTTGACACCAAGACAAGTTAGCCTGCCGATTGTTTCTTATGCCGTGGCATAGTGGTCTAGTACCCTCCACACTTTGCAGATACAGATACCTTTACCTTTATTTTACATTTACTGGCGTACTTTGTTCAATTAAGATGGAAGTTAAATTAATGATGAGTGAAAATAGTAAAAAATTGTTATAACTTAACAATTACAAATTTTTGTAAATCACAGCAAAATGTGAAAACATTAGTTGGTACTGTATTATATAGAATAGATTTATAATAAGAATAAAAAATAATGACCAAAACATGAGGTAAAAGAAAAACTAAAGTTATCAATCACTATACCTGGTTTTATCCTAATATCTTCAGCTCTCAAATCGAATTCATCATCTGGAGACCAGTGAAAGCAGAGCCTTTCTAAGGTTACCTCAGGCTTTTCGTTCGATGCATCGATAACCTTTTTTACTTCTTTTATTAACAATAACTTTGTAATTGAAGTGACAGTATCATACGAATCTCCATAAGCTGATATACTCCTAGGAATCCAATAGAATATACTTATCAACGCTACGAACAGAAACATCGAACAAGGAAAAACATGTTCCGGTTCTAACGTTCTGTTATAAAAAAATAACAATAAAATCGAGACGAATGTGCAAAATTTATGTAAGAAGATGCTGTAGAAGGTTAATTGGTAGTTGAAATATTTTGTAACATTGTGTAGCTCTAATCGACGCGTTATTTTTAATATTTTTTCAAATGATTTTTCCCAATTATTCATTTTTATGGTTTTCATTCCTTCGATTATTTCCTTCATAAATTTGACCCTGGTATCGGTGGATGCTTTTAATTTTAGTGAATGCGCTTTTTGCATTCTTAAGTAAGTACCTTAAAAATAAAGAGAACAAATAATTATATCAAATTTAGTTAATTACTTACAGCTTAATAATTTACACTGCTATGTAACTCGACAGTGATTATTGATAAAAACAATGAACTTGTGGTAAAAGTCAGACTATATCTCATTCGCTTTAGCGGAGTAAAACTTGGAAGTAAAGACGCTTAGTTTTTGAGAAAAAAAAAACCGGCGTAAAACCAAACCAGATTTAGTGCAATCCGTTAATAGGGTAATCGAGTACACGAAATCATTTTTGACGACATTTCTTGGTGGTCGAGAACTTTTTTATTTCGAGAAAACTTAAAAAAAATCGATTTTTTATAACACATGCTTTTTAACATCTCCACCGCTATATCTTGGAAAATAATCGTGCTATCGAGGTATTTTTTTTTTCTACATATTAAAGTAGATACAATAGCGCTTTGAACAATACCCCATTTAAACCCCAAAAAAAAATTTTAATTTATTAAAGTAACAGCAAACTCAAACTTGTTATTTTCAGTAGCGTAATTGTAAGCAATCGAGAAAAAAGTTTATTTCTAAAAATTTGTACATATATGCTGCGAACAAATTAAAGCCAATAGTCGAAAAAAGTTTAAAGAATAAAAATTTTTTATGTATCGGTTATAGTATCGAGTCAGCGATTTTTCTTAAACGGTCCAAAATCATATTCTTGCGCGCTCGGCTCCGGCCTGCGAGCGCGGACGGTCCCGGTCGCGTATTTCCATAGTATACTATTATGTAGAGCACACCTTTGTCTGTACCATAGTAGGCTATGTAATATCATTTGGTGCGAGCCGCATTACAATCTGTACTGCGGTGCAGACAGCGCTGTGCTCTAACAGCTGGTATAATTTGTAATCCCCAACGGCGTATTTGTATACTACAAACTCTACTCAAGTACAGATCGCGTCTTTATGTCTTAGCCATGCCACACAATCTTTAACGACGTAATAATTGTAGCACTATATTATTCCTGTCAGTGCAAGTCTACTTTCCTATGGTGTCTGTCATAGACACTTTGTTACTAATGAATTGTGAAAACAAAATATTGCAAATTTTAAAAAGCTTTTGCCATGAAGATAATCAGCTCCTTGGCTGAAATTTTATAGATTTGGAAAATGTAGCTACTAGCATTCAAGATCTTTGTACCGATAAACTTTCGCAGAATATTACAAGAATTTTAAAAGTTATTCAAGAAAATAAATCAGTAGAAATGAACAATGCCGTTAAAAAAATTAATCAAAAATTAAGTAAACTAACGTCCCCTGCGGATATAATAAGCTTTTTTCATAATAATAAAAGCGTACAAAAACAAAGGACTATAAGAGTACAGAACCCATCTCTATAAGTAGGAGAAAAGTTCGACTTGGAATGACTTCGGGGGTAAATCAGTACAAGCTGGAAGTCCAGCAAATTCCTCAACTATTAAAAGAAAGCCCCAATGTCTGAAATGCCTGTCGAAAAATGTTACAATTAATAGACCCAATGCTAAGTCTCATTGAGTACCTACTCGTCCACAGCAATAAATATTTACTTATTCAATCTGATGATGTTTATTTTGTTTCGTAATAATATTTTATAATCTTTATTTTATTGTTTATTAAAATTAAAATGCATTATGATGTTTTTCTATTTCTAATATGTGAACTATTAATTACCTAACTCTTTGCTTAGCCCTTACAGAGAGCATGCTGTAATGAATCATAAGGGTGTTGTAGTAACCATTATGTGCACCTATCAGGAAATTTTAATATTACTAAATTAATGTTAGTTGTAGTGAAATGTTCGGTGCCACTAATACAATAGATAATAATTACAAAATTTACTTTTTAATCTAATATTATTTATTACATTTATTATATATTTATTATATATTATTATTATCTTTATTTCAGCATATTTTATATTTATTTATATGTTTATTATAATAAAATGGCATTATTGGGAATAAACATTTATACTTCATTTACCTGTTATAAAATAGATACTGCTAATTCCAAGTAAAGAAAGTATACGTACCTACAATGAATAATTTCAAAGTTCTGCAATCGAGTAGAGTTTATAGTTTATAAATACGCCATTGGCGACTACATATTATACTACTTTACAGAACAGAGCGATGTCTGCATCGCAGTACACATTGTAATGTGGAGTAACTTTAAAAGTTGGTACATAGCCTACTACGGTACAGACAACGGCCTGCTCTGCACAGTAGTATACTATGGAAATATGCGTCCCGGTCAGTCGGGGCGTTCTGAAGTTCTGATAATAGGAGTCGGATTTATTTCAATTTTAATAGGTCTGTTCGAGTTCTTCAAAATACATTGAGAACTATCAGAGGACTAGTAGACCAGTTGACAGTTTAATACCTAAACGCTCTAAAACAAATAGAGATATGAAGCAGGTGTAAAGGTAAAAAATATAAAAAGAGATCCAAAAGATAGGTATATAAATATGAATCAGTGTTATAAACTAACCCCCTATACTTACCAAATTAGTAGTATATTAAACATTTTTAATTGAATTAAAATACAAATGTAAGAATAAAGTAACTTTTATTGTTGACATATTTATTATTTAGATGATACATTAATAGCACTCTAATTCGTCATCTTCTAGATCTACGTTGAAATATTTATTACTGTTTTCGCAGGAACGACATTTACACTCGTTACATTTTAGGCCTTTTTTTAACACAAGTGCATTTTCGATTATCACAGAAGACTTTCAAAATCTCCATTTCTTTTAGCACTTAGCATTCTCCAAAGTAAATCGATTGTCTCCAAAAAAACGTACCAATATTTAAATGTTTTTCATAAACCGCAACCCAAGTTTACAAATTCTACTACAACTTTATTATGATCTTTAAGAAGGTAAGAAAGATCTTCTAAGTTACCTGCTTCGTCAATTTTTGATTTTATTACTCTGTCCATTTCTTTTTTCAGCTCGTCAGTAAAAAAAATTGTCTTTTATTTTCTTCGTACTATTTATTTAGTGACTCGTAAAATAATCGAGACATTGCATCGGCTGCTAATATTAGGTTTCGAATAGCGAGATAGTAGGTACTGCTTTCCATATAACATTAGACGACAAGAATTTTCTGCGTAAATATCTGTATCGACATGAATAGAAGTAAATCCACCATCAGCAAAAATATAACCTATACTTGCAATAAATGCCATTGTTAGGTGCATCCCACCAAGTTGCAAAGTCACTTTGTCAGACAATTCTGGAGGTTTGTTGCACAGTATTTCGCGCGCCTTGGAATAAATTGCCAAGTCTGCGGTTATTACAATATGATCCTGATTCAGTTTTTCTGCTAATTGTACTAACCTTACCATTGCGGTAAAATTTATGTCAAATTCTGTTAGGGGAGCATTCAAAAAGGAAAGGTATGTATTTGATGAAACTGGAATACAGAAAAGAATAGGTACTCAATCTGGAGAAATTTCAACAATCGCCAAAATAAATTCATCTTTTTCGAGTAACTTAAATTTTCTCGAGATATTGTTGGTAACTTTAATTCAGGAAGACAGGACGGGGTTTAGGCTTATTATATTTTTCAAGTCGCCACAGACTTATGTCCGTTTCTTTTATGCTTAAAGCTCCTTTAAACGGGTCCCTAATTGGTTGTATAGACTGTTTTTCTTGAAACACAACCACGGCCATAGCATGTGTTGTTCCTTTTTTATCAATGGTTTTTTCGTTGAGGTCAGAATTATCAATACTTGCCCGAATGTAATTTTTTTTCTCAGGTGAAACCTTCGCAAAACATTTGGGTACATATATATCTTCTTTATCATCGATTTTTTGTTTTACCTCGGTAAATAGCTTTGCATCTATAAGCCATGACACGAACAGGAGTAAAATATTCTGAAACCTCATTTTATTAATATCATCTGGTGTGGGAAATCCAGTTTTTGGTTGAAATGAAGCCATTGCACTACGTAATATGGCAACAGCTCTTAAGTAGGGACCAGTACTTTTCCTTATATACTTTAATGACATTGTCACTATTAACATTCAGGGACAATTTGCAATTTTTGCTGATGATTCGACAGTGCTTTGGCTCAGCAACAATAATGAAACCTTGCATCGTATCATAAGCAGGGACATTGAATTAATTAAACAATGGTGTGACGCTAATTATCTAACATTTAATATTTCAAAAACCAATATTGTTTGTTTTAAATGTGAAATGGAAAATGTTTCAATGGGAGCCGAAATTATTAACGTTACAAATGAAAATAAATTTTTAGGATTATCTATTGATTATAGACTAAAATTTGAAAGTCACATAAATTTATTATGTAAAAAGTTAGCGTCGGGTTGTTTTGCAGTACGATCAGTGACCTACAGTTTAAGTTTGCAGGCTGCAAGAAACGTATATTTTGCGCTGATAGAATCCCATTTGAGGTATGGCATTTTTTTCTGGGGTGCATGTTCTGACGAGCTATTTAATAGAGTCTTTATTATGCAAAAGCGGGCCCTGAGGTACATGTGTAAACTTAATAATTATGCTTCTTGTAAACCCTTATTTTATAAATATAAAATTTTAACAGTAGCCAGCCTGTTTATATTAGAGACGGTAGCTCTAATTTATAAAAAGTTTAAGGAAGAAATAATTATAACTTCAACATACAATACAAGGCAATCGTACTACCTTTATCTACCGATCCCATCATCCGCATTAATAAGGAACTCTATTATATACAACGGAAGAAAAATGTTTAATCATTTACCCTTGGCAATAAGAAAAATTACAAATTATAAAGTATTCTATGGAAGTGGGAAAAAAATTATGCTAAAAAAAACTTATTATTCTATTGAAGAATTTTATAATGATAATTTTAACTAAAATTTTATGTGTACTGTAATATTTACCAATTTTATTTTATTTTAATTACATTTTTATATTTTAATTTTAAATTGTGGAAATACCTAATTTTATATTCTTATTTTAATTTTAAATTGTGTAAATACCTAT